AACTATTGAAGATAATTTTGTTTTTCTTAGATGATTCAAAAAAGCCTCAGACGTATTTCAGGGCTTTGGAATAGTTGTCAGGGACATTTTAGTTCAAATAGAGTTAACTGTGAGTATGGCAAAGGGTACTGGATTTGGAGTCAAAAGGTCTAAACCAGGGGTCAGCAAACTATGGCCAAAAGGCCAAATTGAGCCCACTGCCTGTTTTCCTAAATGTGTTTTATTGGAACACATATTGTCTACGGCTGCTTTCATGCCACAATGGCAAGGTTGTCATGACAGAGACCAGAGGACCCACCAATCCTAAGCTACTTACTATCTCACCCTGTATAACAAAAGTTTGCCAATCCCTGATCTAGACTAAGATCCAGCACTATTTTCTCTGTTCTTCAGTTTCCACATCTATAAAATGATGATTATCTCTCCCATGGGGTTGTTGTGAGAGTCAAATGTGACAGAATGGGTGGCAAAGCTCTTTGGAAATGCAGAAGACAGGCAGCACCTGATCTGTGCTGGAGGAGAGCTTACCCAGACATCCTTTGTGCTTTCTTTTCCAATCTTTGATGTCCACTTGTCATGTTCCCCCTTTCTCACAAATGGAAAAAGAATTCCCCAGGTATCCCACCTTCCCCCCAAACATAAAGCATTCTTCTAGAAATGGAGGATTGGTACAAACATATGTATCCACTCTTTCGTCCCTCAAATATTTGTTGGGCACCTACTGTTTCTTGTAGGGAGAAATGTTTGGTTTCCAAGGGGAGAAGTTGGTATACAAATTATTACAACAGAACAGAGATGTTGCCATGTCAGAGTAGGAGGACCCATCATGTGTTTGTGTGTGTGCATGTACATATGTGCAGTTTATAAAAACAGAAATATTCAGGTTCAGATTTAAGAAAAGCCTGTGAACCTCTTTAATCTAAAATACACTGAAGTGCCTTAAAGTATAGCCATTATGTATAACTGTTTCCCTTTGGAAACTACATTCTAATTTTAAGTTTCCATCCCAAACTACCAAGAAAGCATTTCCTGCCCATGCATGGTCACTGGGGATCCCTCATCTATGCCTGCTGGACAGGACTATTAAGGAGTGGTAACACATGTCAGGGTGGTTGATCACCTGAGCATCAAGGAGTCAGGTGCTCACTACAGTTTACAAATTTTGGAGGCAGTCTTCATTTTATAATATCATCTGTTCTTTATTGATTTTTTTATTGATGATTCAATAAACATAACTTCAATGATTTAATTGTTTTATTTGACCAACTTGCTATCAAAATAAACTCCTAAATTGAGAACAAAAGTTTAAAAACTTTCTGTTCTAAAAATACTGTTGCTATACCTATCTGGTGAAATCTTACTATTGCTGATAAAGAAAAATGTAGTTATTTGGGAAAAAATAATAAGAGGACCTTATCTATTTCTGGGATGCAGATACACACACACTTGGCTCTAGGCTCCAGACTGGGTCCCCTGGGCCTTCCCAGCATGATGGCTCTCTTAGTCCCCATGGAAATAGTGTTGGTATTTTTTGTGAATGTGTTTCATCCACATTTTTCCATGTGCATTTAAATATAGGACTGCAAACCCAAAACTCATCAAACAATGTATGTCCATCATACATACAAGTTAAAACATAGAATTCTTCCTCATTTTACTCTCCCCCCTACTAATAATTTTTTAAAGAAATGAGGCTTGGGTTTTTATATTTTCTACCTTGGGATTTAATCCTCTCTAGAGTGTTTTAAAAGAGACTGCTTAGTCTGCTTAGGGGGTGCCTGAGTGGCTCAGTCAGTTAAGAGTCCAACTCTTGATTTCTGCTCAGGTCATGATCTCAGGGCTTGGATCTCAGGGTTCGTGAGATCAAGCCCCATTTCAGGCTCTGTGCTGTCAGCGGGGAACCTGCTTGGGATTCTGTCTCTTCTCTCCCTCAGCCCCTTCCTCCATTTGCGCTCGCTTGTGCTCTCTCTCTCTCTCAAAATAAATAAATAAGCATTTTTAAAAAGAGACTGCTTAGTTCCATCAAGTATTTTTTATTGGACTTAGCTGGACTCCTCCTACGTTGGCAAGAAGCACGTGAGGAAGCCATTTGTGAACAAGGTAGCACAGGTAGTTTCATTGTGATGCCAGTTTATCTCATGTCTTTTATTTCCCTGGCAATGTTCTTCACCTCCATTCCCCTCTGCTTGAATGCAGTGTTCTGTTTCAGAGTTTGTACCTCGTTATTTCAGATCAAGGAGAATCTCTAGTCTTTCCCCCCTCTTCCTTTCTGAAACGATGTTCATCTGGTTTTTAGTTTTTCCCAAAAGCACCTTCATTCCTGATGTTAAGTGCAGTTTCTCTCTAAACCTAGAGCAGGTGATGACAGCACAGTTGTGCTAATTGCAGTCAACCTGAGGTGATGGTGGGTTTGGGACTGATACAAGCAGGTGGGGAGGTATGACACAGCTTGCTGGACAGGAGTCCTTTCCTTCACTTGACCTTCAGAACCTTCCTAGGACCTGAAGCAAGGGTCTAAACCAAAGATAAAATATAGAATGTAAAAACATAGCCGCTGTATTTATTTTAGATTACCATAACTATATGATAATTAGAAAGAAAGATCTAGTGTATCAGGGAATGTGCACCACTGGTAGGCATGATAAATTTCTCCACATACATTCCATCAGCATGACGAATCATGAACTATTTGGGTTTAGGTTCAGTGTTTGCAGTTAAGTGGTGAGTGTTTTGTCTGTATTTTTTCATATTTCATTTTAATTTTATAAAAATTCAATTTAGCTGGATAGACTGACTTGTTTCCTAGAACTAGCTAAGGTTTATCATTGAGATTATTGCTTTAAAAATGTCCTTCAAAGCATCTCAACTTGGTGCACAACTGTTTAAAATAAATAATTGTAAGAATATTTTAGTGCGGGGCGCCTGGGTGGCGCAGTCGGTTAAGCGTCTGACTTCAGCCAGGTCACGATCTCGCGGTCCATGAGTTCGAGCCCCGCGTCGGGCTCTGGGCTGATGGCTCAGAGCCTGGAGCCTAATTCTGATTCTGTGTCTCCCTCTCTCTCTGCCCCTCCCCCGTTCATGCTCTGTCTCTCTCTGTCCCAAAAAAATAAATAAACGTTAAAAAAAAAAAAATTTAAAAGAATATTTTAGTGCTGCAATTTTTAAGCCTTCTCTTATTTACAAGGAAAATAGAACTGATAAATTTGAATGATGAAAATGGATTTAATTAGGTGAATTTAGTTGGGCTTGATGAGGTGAAGCCAAATTTAGGATAATGATATTTTTAAACTAATGCCTCTTGTATTTTAGGATTTGCAAAAGTTTCTCCCAACATGTGGCAGGGTCGTGTAATTCACACACACCTCTCTCTCACACACACTTTTACTCTTCTGCACACACACATACACACACATGTAGAAGGGCCCCAGCAGCTAGAGTGTGTTTAGCATTCGCTCTTCCTCCTTCAGTTACTAATTCTGCCTATAAAGGGTATATCTGGCCAAGTTTGCTCCTGTCTTTCCTGTTATTCCACAACACAGAGGAGTTTTCTAATGGAAAGTATTGTCATTTTGGGTTTTCCATTTTGGGGACAAAAGTGGGCACTGAGCCATTACTCATGATCCTCTTTGCTTGCGTCCTATAAAGGATAACAAAGTCACCCGTTTTCTGATCCAGAACCCAACTTGTTTTCCCAGGTTCCCTCCTACAACCAACACAAACACAGACATTTACCAGCAAAACAGAAGCTGTTGGAAAGATTTTTTGGCTGCTGAAATGGGCTCCTGTCACCAGGACATGGCAGGCTTTTTGCTGTATTGTCTCCCAGCCCTGGCCCGGGTACTCCAGAAAGAGCTTTATGTAATCAGTCTTCCCTGACATGTGACGTCCTGTCATTTTCCTCCCTTTCGGCTCCACTGCCGCCCACAAATCAATAACATTGCTTGGGAAGTTCAAGCTGGTTTTTCAGCCACCCTAAGCTCTGTATTTCTTAAAGGGTATGTCAAAAAATGTAAAGTTTCCTAATGATATTTCTGGCTGATGACACATGGCAGAGCTGATGGACTATTTATAATCAGTGGCACGATCGCAAGCACATTATTTTTATTTCACTTGGGGGGAGCCCTGTCACTTGCTACCTCTCTTTGCAGACAAGTTGATGCCATCTCCACCTAAAGGAGCTAAATCCTCTTTGCAGAATGTGTTTGCACTCTCCCCTTTGTGTTAGGAGCTCCCCAGTTCTTTCTAATAGAACCTCCTCTTTTTTTTTAATTGTTCTCGGGCTGGGAGGGGAGGATGATGAGGGCAACCAATGATTTGTAGCAACTGCTTTAAATTCTGGTCATGCCTTCACTATAAATGTCTCAGTCTTTGCTGCTCAGATCCTGCTACATTCCTCTGAGTGTGGGCGTGGCTGGCATGACTGAGGCAGCAGACACAGCTACCACATTCAGCGCTCGCCCCAGTTTTACAGGACTGAGCATAGCATAGCTGTCTTTCGTTGAGCAGCTACTATATTCTAGGCAATGTACCTGGTAGGCATTTTATACACAGTGTCTCATTAACCCTTTCATAGTTGTCTCTGGCAAGTGCTGTTATCTCCAGAGAAGACACATGGGGGAAAAAAATTGGGACATCCAGTGACTTCTCTCCACAGTCACACTGCCCATAGGAAAAGCCCCATGACTCCAGTTCAGATCTAACAAAGCACACCTGCTCTCGTTCAACTACCTTCTCACCTCTGTCCAATTAAGTGGACACTTGTGTATGTATGTGGATGTGCAGGGGCACTTACCCATTCCCAACGTGGGCAGCTGCTGGGAGTTCATAGGCTGACCAAAGTGAGAGATGGAAGAATTGGAAACTTCACCTGGGGTAAACCCTGGTGTAAAAGAAACCATATACTAGAGGAGGGTTTTGACTCACTGCAATGGGAAGTATTACTGCTGTAAAGATACTGAGCTCTCTCTTTCTCTCTTTCTCTTTTTAAAATGTTTCCACAGGACAGAGTTTAGGGTATGGATTCGTTAACTATATTGATCCAAAGGATGCAGAGAAAGCCATCAATACTTTAAATGGACTCAGACTCCAGACCAAAACCATAAAGGTAAGAAGTGATATGCTGTCCTGATTGGGAGGCACTGGTTAAATTTTGTTCCTTTGATCTCATAAATCCAGGCTATCAGGGAGCTGGAAGTGGTGTTCTTTATTTATGCAAAGGACATTTATCATCCACAGTGCTAAGTGGAGGACACAGATCATTACAAAGAATGAGATGTAGGCTGAGTAGAGGGAAGGGACTGGAGGGTAGATGGGGTGTCAGGGCCCGCCAAGAAGGCCTGTGAGCCCAAGCCTGCAAAGATGGCCAGAACTAAGCCATGGGAAGAAGCTGAGCCAGAGAAGCTGTTCCACACAGAGGGAACAGCACATGGGAAGCTGTGAAAATGAACGTAAACATTATGAGTGGGGAACAGCATATAGGATAGCATGGTCTGATTTGGGATGGGAGGTGGGCAGGAGCCTCATGTGGCAGGCTGTAACAGTTTGGCTTTACCTAAAGGGGACAAGGACCCTCCTAACTGTGACTAGAAAAGAAAAAAAATCTGTTATAAATAAACACTAATATAATAGGGATGGGGACTATCCAATTGTTAGGAACACAGTAAAGGAATGACAGAAAAAGTAACATTCGAGCAACTGGAAAATAATTAGAGCTGTAGATAATATCTCAGGTGGGGTTGTTTTAAGTCGAAAAAGAGAAACAGTTACCCAGAGCCTGTTTCTCCAGAGGTTTCTATGACTATGCCGTCACTCTCTCGGTTCAGATTTCCCCTTGTGGAGATCCTTCAGGAGGTGGTGCTGTTTGCTTTGAGGGCCCCCTCTGATAGCTAGTGGTGGTCTCCTGGATGGAGCCTTCTCCTCCTCCTCAGTCTCCCTTCCCCTTCTTCCCCCACCTCCAGGCAGCATCCTGCTTGGGGGCAGCTGCCAGCCCATTAATGAGTCCCATCCTTCATAGCCTATTAAACCACAGGGAGGTGTCTCCTGGGCGCTCTTATCCTCACGACAGCAGGTCTGACGCAAAGTAGGACAAAAGAGAACCTCTCCCAGAATGGAAATCTATAGATGGCACCAGCTCTCAGCGTATGAAAACACAAAAGCAGAACTTTTTAGTTCAACAGAGCCACTTTTCCAACATCAGGACTGACAGAGAGAGACTGTTGGTATAAGATAATTTCAGCTAGGAGGTAATCAAAGCAAAACCAAAACAAAAATCTTCTTTTTTTGGAATATTATTATCCGATTGTCTTCCTTCCTTCCTTCCTTCCTTCCTTCCTTCCTTCCTTCCTTCCTTCCTTCCTTTATTTTAAGCAGCTTAACTTTTGCAATTGAGTTTAGCTTATTTCCAAAAGTGATTGCTTTCATGATCTCATACAGTCTGTAGTACACAAAGACCCCCAAATCAGCCTGATTCAGGCTGCCTCAGTCTCATCTTACAATCAATCCCTTTGAGCTATCTAATGGAGAAATAATTAAGAGTTGTTTAATTATGGGGTAGTCCTCTGAGAGGCAGGAGGATTAATTTCTTTCAAAGGAAAAACATACCTATTTTTACGCTTTACGTGAAGATGGGATGCTCACGTCCCTGATTGTTTGATGAGGCCACACCAGGTTGAGAGCTGTATTTGTGGGTTTGATTGATTTTTCTGTGCTATCCAGTTCAGCATTAGAATGTCAGACATTTACTCTTCCCTTGATGGACACCCTGACCTTGAACTGAGAAAGGTACTTTTTTTTTTCCTCTACAGTTTTCTTGAAACCCAAACCTTCCCAAGAGTTTAGGATCAAATCATCAGTCATCCATTTTACCTTTTTTTTTTTTTTTAATATTCCATGAAGCTGTTGGGTTTCCTGAAAGACTGATTGGACCTGGCTTTTCTGCTCTCAGAATGCACCCCCTGATCCATCATGCCATCAGAAGTAGTGCTTTGTCTAAGTAGATCTTACAGACAAGGAACGTCGATTATTTTCTTTCTGTGGGAAGGCTGTCTGCCTTCTCTTCTCTACATCCGTTGCCCCACCCCCTCACCCACCCTGTGCTCACCCTGCATCAAAACGCTGCCAACACATTTGCACCCAGCAGTAACATGGGCTTCCGAGGCATTGTAGGATTCAAAATGCATGATGCCATGGCTGAATCAATAATTTCCATCCTCTACTACGAATGAAAATTTAATGTGCAAACCTGGGGATTTCAGCCCTTTCATTAAAGCAGTTTATTTGCCATACTAAAAATTAAGTTTGAGTGATAGGTTCTTTTATTAACTTTTCTTCCCTTTCCTAAAGGGACACAATGTTTAAGGTAAAAATCATATTAAAGGGGAGGAAAAAAGCAAACCCTTTTCATGTGCTGTTAATAGTCTCATCATTTATTAATTTTTTAAAATTGCTTTTCTGCCTTTCAGGCCACTCTTTACTTCTGCTTCAGTCTGCTTTGATAAGTGACATGAGATTTATCTCTTTGCTCTGACTCCCAAGAAGGAATAGATAACTTTCATATCTGGAAAAAACAAATATCTTCCTGGAAGCATGCTTTACAGAGATCTGCCCAGAACTATCTAGTACATGTTTGCAAGATATGGTCAAGTTTGTCCCTCTTTCTCACATTTCTGGAACATTTTTGAAGTGCTTTGTGCAAAACACAATACTTTTTAAAAACTTTTTGTTTAAGTTTATTTATTTATTTTGAGAGAGAGAGAGCAGGGGAGAGGCAGAAAGAGAAGGAGAGAAAGAACCCCAAGCGGGCTCTGCTGTGTCAGCACAGAGCCTGATGCAGGGCTCGAACTCACAAACTGTGAGATCGTGACCTGCGCCAAAACCAAGAGTCAGATGCTTAACTGACTGAGCCACCCAGGTGCCCCAAAACACCCTATTTCAAATGTAATGTACAACATAGCTGCAGGAAAACCAAGAGTTAATTGTTGTTGTTATATTTTAATTCCTAGGTTTTAATGATTAACTGCTAGATTCAGGGATAGTTCTAGAAAGCCCTAAGGGAAGGGTGGAGACTATAGTGAGGTGGAGAGCAATAAAAATGGCAGGTACTCATCAGCTACTACAGATTGTTTAAGCCCAGATTGTTGCCAGGTCTTCCAATTATTCAATAAAAACTGAAATCTAGATATTTTTAATGCCAAATCTGTCAATTTCTAAAGGTTGGAAACCAACTTAAAATTTTTAAAGCATAGGTAGTCAGGTCAAACAAAACTTAATAGTTGACCTGTGGGCAAGCAGTGTGTGGCCTCTGAAGTCAAATTTAAGTACAAAAACACTGTTTTGCTTATTGGACGTGAATGATTCATTCACCTCCTAGTGGAAGGTGCCCCCAAATGATGGTTCCCTGTTAACAACTATTCATTGTCGCTTTAGTAAGGTGGATGTAATGTAACTATGTGCCAATATCAAAGGCATATAGAGGGCAAGGCCAGGCCTCTGTCCTCAAAGAGAATACAGTCTTGGCATAGACACAGCATCAAAGCAGAGAAAGAACGTGATTCATTAATTAAGCCCCTATGAGTAGTGTGGATGACTGCAGATAATGTGCCTATGTGGATCAAACAAATATATTTTTTGGAAACATGTGTTACAGTGATGTCCTAGGAACATCTAGTACATGTTTGCAGACGTGACTACAGAGGAATTATTCTTTGGATTATAACTTGTTTAGTGGGAGAAAGTGGCCAGGCTCAGAGATGAAATGACCTGTCCAATGGCACACAAGTGACCAGCAGCTGAGCTGAGCTAGCATCTGAAGGGCCTGTGAAGGACTCTGCCACAAGAGGAGATGCTTAATATGTGAGCATATGCTTGAAATAATAATAATTATTTATTATAATTATACTACTAATAATAGTAATGCTACCTTATATTGAATATTTACTGTGTACCAACAGTATTCTAACCCCTTTACATGCTTGAGAGGATTGAATTCTTGAAACATCCCTAGGGCTAGATGCTTTACACACATGAACTCTACTTCTTAAGATAGCCCTGTAAGAAGGTGCTATTCTCTCCTTTGTACAGTTGAGGAAACTGAGGCCCAAAGAGGGTAGGAGACTTACCCAGGATCACATGGTTGGTATGTGAGATTTGGAGTAAAGAAAGGTGTTTTAAAAATAACTCTAGCAGTAGGCTGTAAGTATTGGAAGGTCACACTGTGTGTTTGCTCAGCAGCACGTGCATTCTATGAGATTGTTTGGGTCTGTATTTGGCTCTGCACACACAGATAATACTCCCTGGCATGGGAAGGAGATATAAAAAGCAAACAAATTGTGTGGTTCTTCCAGGTTCTTCATTAAACAGACTTGTGGTTTGGGACTTCTGCCATCAACCTGAGTACAGACCTAAGTTCAGGTCTTTTCTTCTTGAACCCCTGCTTTGCAGGCTCTGTGCTAGGTCCTGGGATTTAGGTGACCCAGAGATGGCAGTGCCCTAGACTTTCTCCCATCTACATGTGTTAGAGAGGCACAGAGCATGGACCGTGGGCTTACATGTCTAGCCTGCCAGACCAGCCTGGCACTCCACTTGGGAAAGTGGGTCTTTTCTTAGGATTTCAACTCTGAACACAGTGGAGATGATTTGCCCCATTTAGAGTTTTGAGAGTGCTCTTTGTTGAGCTTTTTTCCTCACTTGTCTCCAACAGAGTGATGTTAGACTTTGGGACGTATTGGGTGAAATGACTGTGGGTTCTGGAAAATGATTCCCGGTACTCCTTGACTCCACAGTGGATGCCTGTCCCAGTCCTGGGCCCTCTCCTCTCTCCATGGGTTCTAAAACAGCAGCTTCTGAATTCACACTGTAATTTCAGCTGCTTACTAGGAAGCACTTCATTGAATCCAGCTGTAGTGGTCCAGCTCTTTGTCGCATTAATTAGTAACAAAGAAAATTAGATGTCTGTAGTACCTTCAAAAGAGATATCTTTACAAAAAGTTTGGATTGATATTCAAGTTACACTGAGAACCTTCAGTAAAAAGTGATCCAGAGTGTAATTTGAGGGTTTGGAATCATGCCCAGTAAATCTTTCCGAATAGTGGGACACCAGTTTGGATT